GGGGGGGGGGGGGGGGGCAGCGGCAGCAGCGGTGAGCGCCAGAGGGTCGTTGGGATGACGGCAATGAAGAAGAAGAGGACGGCGATGCCGAGGTAGGTGCAAGCAAGAAGTGCAGGGCTAAAAATCGAGGGAAGTGTGTAGTTTTGAACATGCAATAGGTTCCATTCCGGCTTTGGTTTTGCACAAAACAGGCAAGGCTTGAAGTAATTCGATTCGCGGGACACTGAATTCAGCTAGAATTGTCTCCGAAGCGAGATATGCCATGTAAAAAACTCGCTCCTCCCGTATTCAGAGTGTAACACAAACACAGAAAGATCCCGTTACTTGAATACATTTTCCGGTTTGAGTTGTGTTGGCAGCCTCTCTACTTGGGCGAGCTTAGTATTCGCCCCATGGGATGGCCGGAAACTTCAGTACTTTTCAACACATTTGTAGAAGCAGACGCATACCATCCATCATTCACAGTCAAGACCCCTCCCACTTCCTTTCTGCCCCCCAACCTCTTAACCGTGGCCTCTCCGCGCCGTTTTTTTCTCTGTTCTCTCCTTTCACCGCTGGTCAGACCCAGCCCGTCTCGAAGAACTCGCGCAAATAAGCTGCGCTTCACGCTACTATGACGACGGCCCCTTGTGGAGGTGCAAGACAGTATGTCACGAGGGGCGAACGACGAGACACGACACGACAAAAGTGTGTGGCAGACCGTGTGCGGCGGTGGGTCCAAGTGTCCCGGTGTTTGTTCGTGTTTTGTTCGTAGCGCCAAAGCGGTGATGTTTTGGGGTGACGGCAAAGGAAGAGAGGACATCAACCGTTCTGGACTGATTGGGGGGAGGTTGGGCACTCCTCCTCTAGAGTTTATTTATGGTGTGAGGTGGGTTGAGACTCACTTCAACTAAATTGCGAGGGAAAAAGGACGGTCTGTGTGCAGACAAGGTGACGGCTGTTCTACGCGCGGTATAGTTCCGTAGAATTAGGTCGCTTGCCATCGTGTACGTATGTGGGGCGCAAGAGTGTGTAGGGGTACGCTTTCCTTAGACCTGTAGTTCTGTGGCGGACGTACACCTACAGGGTCGTTTTTTAGGCTGACACATTTATCTACTTCAGTATTTACAGCGAACCTGGGTATGGAACCGAAGATATCGGTAGTATACACCGTGACCCGTTGGGCGTTTGGGTAGGTCACTGAGGGAAAACTTGTGCGATCCCATTTTTGTCGGCGTACTACGTCCTTCGATCGGTACTACTGCGGGGAGGGAGAGGGATGAGATGAGGGGAAACGGGAGGAAAGCGGAGGGTATAGAAACAAACAAAAGAACGGTCGTGATTTTTGCGCATGGGATGTAGCTCAAGAGAGCAGTAGAGTGGAATGCTCTGACATTCCATCTTGTATGTGGGGCGCCGGGTGTGCAGGGGTGCATTTGTTTCAGGTCTTGGCTCTATGATCCGTGCACACCCTGCACGCAGTGTTTGCTCGTAGATTACAAGCATTTTTGTCTATCAGTCCAGTGGAGCTGGGTATGGAACCGAAGAAGTCGGTATGTACACCGTGACCAGTCGGTGGTAGAGTTTGGCTGTGCATTGAGGCACAAAACATTTTAGAATGTAAGTCACAGGGGACCAAAAGAACACAGGGAACAGGTATGCAATTCCCTTCCATCGACATGGTGGAGGGGAGAGGGGAGAGGGGTGAGGGGAGGGAAAGGGTGCGGGGAGAGGGATGGGGGGATCTGGGAGGCGGGAGGAAAAAGGGGGGTTTATGAGAAAAAAAACATGGGGTGCAGCTCTACTAGAGGAATAGAGTGGACAATATGTCGTGGAATGCAGTTGCTTTCCATCGTGTATTTGGGGTAAAGAGTTTACGGGGATGCATTTATTTTAGATCTGTGGCTCTGTGATTCATGTATGTCCTGCTCGTAGTCTTTTACTGAATCTGGGCGTAGATTCGAGAGGTCTCGATTATTGGGTCCAAAGTCACCATCTGGCACGATAAGTGTTGTTGCGCATCAATAAGGATAAGTGTTATCGCGTATCAATGCGCTTGACATTTTGGAAAGGAGAGGGAAAAACGGGCGGCTGGGGGGATAAGAAACAATGCACAGCCAGATTGTCGTTTGTATGCGATGTAGATCGACAGAACAGTAGAATGAGTCTCATGGAGTGTTGTCGCTTGCGATACGGGGTACACAGAGCGTATGAGTGTACAAAAACGTTTAGATCTGCGGCTGTGTCATGCATGCACACCCTGCTCACGGCAGTTTCTTTTGAGTTAAAAATAACGTAGATTTGAAGACAGCGATTGTATGTACGACTGATTACAGCGATTCTGGGTTCGGAATCGAGAATGCCGGTCGGTTACCTTAACCAGCACTAGATACATTGCTGCGCAAGGCAAATGCCATTAATAACGTAGGGCAATGGGTAAACAAAAAATAATGTCGGGGCGTAGAGCTCGTTGTGTGATGTCGTATGTGATTTCTCTATGATTTATACGCTTTTTATCGTGGGGGCATAGAGGAGCTCATGCGGTCTTGAATTATGTAATTCTTTAAGCGATTGCCGTATAGCATCGATCCGATTGTAAAGAGGAAAGAGAAAAGGGGGACTGGGGAGGGGAGGGGCAAGGGGGCAGGCATGTAATGTTCACCGCTTGTTGTCATCTCGGAAGGGCAGTTGCATACTACTGAGGCGTGTGCTACCCAAATGGTTGAATGCGAATTTCGCTCGGTGTCCAACAGCGAGTACTCGTGAGGGAGGGAGGGGGGGGGGGGGGGG